GTATTATTCTGTAACAACAATTTTTCCGAGGATATTAAATAAAACCAAATTTTCACAGAGTTTTTTCCAGTTTTTTGGGGAAACCTTTTTTTTTAAAAATAATGTTCAATAATCTTATATACGTATATTGGACGACCAGCAGCGTCATCCGTACAGGAAATATTAGTTAGTAATTAATTTTTAATATGAATTACTTAAATATACCTGCGTTATTGCCGTCCGCTAATGAATATGAGACTATTAAACATTATAATAGATCATTTCCGTATCAACTATACTATACCTAGTAATTATAGTGCAATGGTATACTACAGTCTACAATACCTTTTGAGTAATGCTTATGACATATTCGAGATTTCTTTTCTACTGCGGCCTGCAATACTTTAAAAATTAATATAACTTAAAGTTTGGTGGTAACAATATGTATTACCTTTAGCAACCACTATCCACGACTGCGTTTTTAGTTTAACGTAGTTTCTTATTAAGTTTTACTTCAATTATAGTATGACGTACACTAATTGACTAATTATAATCAACTATAAGCGGTTGGGAAACTATACCATAGAATACACCTTGCATTGTATAATATATAAATTAAGAATTTAACCAAATAACAATATTTACTTTTCACTTCAACGTTTTTTCAATCATTTCCGATTCGTTTAAAAATTATGTAAATACATTCATGAATACATTTGAAACCATAGTTAATTCAGTTAAAAATGAACTGGGGTCACATACTCCGTAAATCTGTAACTAATAAAAATAGTTGCCGTTTTTTTTCTTTTGAAATTAAATTGCTGATAAAAGTCATTATGAGTGTGAAATCGGTATTGAATAATTTTAACAAGTGTTTTTTGATTTGCGGAGTTGGTTGTATATAAACTATAGCCAGAGCAATTTTAATAAGTCAGTGGTGTTCTATGTCTTGTGGTGCATATTAATTTATGTCGGTTTGCTTCATTTCTACAAATCCAACGAAGTGGTAAAAACTGTATTTAATTGTATTTAAAGATTTTCATATGGTAATACACAAATGGCACATTAAAAAATCTTAAATCATTTGAAATTAATAGACTTGTATTTCTTACTTCTTTCATTAAATTTACAAGATAATAATTTTTTTATCATTTTATTTGAAATTATTATTTTTTTTTAAGGGGATTCAATACCGACCATTTTTTAGACTAAAACATCCAATCTTTTGTCCATCAGTCCGATGGACCTAATAATGCGATAAGACTTTTAAAAACTGATTTGAATTCGTTATTATGTCTTCTTGAGATCGGCCACGTCACTTTTTCAAATTTAGGCCCCTTATCTTTATAATATAGATTTAGAAATTGTGAAACTTAAAAAAATGTAAGTTTTGATTACTCTGAATTAAAATTGTAAATTCAAAAAAGTGGCTAGGCCGATCTCAATAAGAAGACATAATAACGAATTCAAATCAGTTTTTAAAAGTCTTATCGTATCATTAGGTCCATCGGAATGATGGACAAAATATTGGATGTTTTAGTCGAAAAAACGGTCTATTTAATTTGCTGGTTAGTAACTTTGTACACGTTGACATGTGTATGAGCGTGCGAGAGTCATAATAGAAATAGTGGTGATGCGAGAGTCACTCACACTAATAATCAGTTACTACATACACGTAACCATGTCTTGCACGCACGTACTATATAAATTGCCTATATTCAACTCCTTAAAACAGATCGGTATCGAATCCCCTTAATTCTAAATAATATAATGTATTTACGAATTTTCATTATAAATTGTTAATATATTATCTAATACCTATAGCTAAAAACTAAAAAACTTGTCCATTACAAAATATTATGAAGAGCAAATAAAAATAAATGGTATAAACAACTAAATTAAGTAAAATATAGTTACTTATGTGTCATGTGTTCGTGTAATATGATGGAAGAATTTATTGTGAAATGTATTTATGAAATTTTATTTTGTAGATCTTAAAATATGACTCAGAAATGTCTGAACTGACGTCTTTAATAATTATCAGTGGTTTTGAATGATATTTTATTGGAAATATCATAAGTCGTTTTTCTCGAGTATTTTTCGATAATCAGCTGTCCACTTTATTGAATAAACTTGAAGCAATGTAAGGAAAAATAGATACAACTGAAAGTGGTCGACCCCATGAAAATAAAAATGAATTTTCATTTCATCATTGGTATTATTGTATATGTCATAGGAAATATTATAACTCCGCTCGTATGGATGAAAATTCAAGGCCGATTTGATGAAAAAAAAAGGTAATCAATAATCGTTAGCATCTAAAAATATGTCATAAGTAAAAAGGTAATGTTGTACTATGATTTAAAGTAATATGTGTTTTCTTGAACATTTCCCAACTATTTTTTTAGTATTTTATGAAATCTGTGGTCAAACTATCGATCTAAAACAACAAGAGGCTTAAAATATTTGTATTATATTCTATAGTTTGCAGTTTATATATTAACCATTTATGGTACTCATTCTCTCCTATATTAATTAATTGTACCTACGGGTTACCTGCTTCTATTGTTTCAATGGTATAGGTTTGGGGAATCCTGGTATATTTAGCTAATATTGTGAGGGTTTTCAAGTTACGGCAAAGATCAAGTTATAAGGTGTTGTTATACCACCTTTTTAAATTTTTTAAATCATTGAATCTAGAGATTGATGTGTATTTAAAGATAGTAATTGTTTGTACATTTTAAAAGGCTCATAGATTTTCCGTTGAAGAAATTTAATACAAGCAATCAGCAGCTTTAGCTTCGATTTATATATATATATATATAATATATTCAGGTTTTTTCTTGGTTGCAAATGTTTGTGAATTCGTTGCATTTAACGAATACATAATACTAATAGCATGCACACAATGGATGGTCTACGTGATAAATGAACAAATTCCGGAGAGAAGATCATACTTAAGTAAATTCAGAGACAAGTATTTGCTATTTGGAAGTTATAAAAATATAGAATGCTTACACCAAGTCAATAGATCAATATATGGTTCGCCAGCTATTGTTTTTATTGCAGCAAATGCCGCTGACATCATTATTACTTCATACAGTTGCATATTATTCCCTAGAGACTATATTGTTTGCGCCATTAATGGAAATTTATATTATATTTTATTGTATTTGTTTCTGCTATTTTTATTATTATTTTGGCGATTAATTTTTGTTCTTATCGCACATACCTGTAGCGCGGTCGACGATGGTAACAGCGCTGTCGTGTGCTGACCACCCAGTGTATGTGTTTGATAAATTCTATTATTCAATGGACCTTTAAAGGTTCAGAAGGAAAGGTTGTTACTACAACATCTCCCTTCTTTGGGACTAATAATTAATAACAATTTTGAATTTAGAAATACATAATGCTTATAATTTACAAATATAATTAATAGTGACTCTTTGACAAACAAAATAATAATTATAATGATAATAATAATACATTTAGTTAATTATTCAGTATAAGTTTCAATTATTTGAGATATTTTTTTGGTTTTTTAATCAACCGACCATGCCTAGTTTTCCTATTATCCTCCTTCACTAAACCTTTTACAACACTCTTTTTGTTTACTTGTATCACTTGTCACATTAGTTTTGTTCATTTTTAAAATGTACTGACGTTCTTCTAAATATTTTTCCTTTCACATCCTGTAAAATATATGACCTAGGAGTTTCTGCTTTCCCAATGATTACACCAACTTCCCAAACATTATTTTTAAGCCATAAAACAGAATCTCCTTTTTTAAATACTTTTTCTTTCCATTGTGTTCCTTTATTATAATAATCTTGTTGTTTACTTTGGTTTACTTTCATTTGACTATACAAGTTTTTAGGAATTTTTGGGAATAATGTTTTTTCATTTAGGTACTGGTAGTTTAGTTTTAATTTTTCTATTTTGTAATATTTCAGCAGGTGAATATTTTAATCCAGCAACTGGTGATGACCTATAGTTCAATAAGTACAATTCAAGATCTTGACCAGTCTAAGCATTTTCGCATCATACCTTTGGCTATGCCAACACCTTTTTCTACTAAGCCATTACTTTGCGGATAATTAGGACTTGTAGTAATGCTTTTAAAATTCCAATCAATAGAAAATTGTTTAAAACGGTAGCTATTAAATGGAACATTGTCTGAAACACAATAATTAGGAATACCAAATCTGCTGAAAATGGGTTTTAGTACTGAGACAATTGTATTTGCAGACTTATCTTGTATTTTTAAGATTTCTAACCACCGTGAATAATAATCACAAACTATCAAATAATAATTACCACCAAAATCAGCAATGTCAATACCAATTTTCTCAAATGAGCGTTTTGGTAGGTCATGATTTAACAAAACTTCTTTGCTATTTTTCCTTTGATATTTGGTCCATCAATTACAATTGCTAATATACTCGTAGTTTTCAATGTCTTTAGACATATAAGGCCAATGATAAAAGTTTTTTGTTAGTTTTATTGTCTTAGTAATACCCAAGTGAGTTTCATGCAAAATCTTTAATAATATTTTCCTTAGATTAACTGGAACTTATAATTTATCATTTAGGTATACTAATCCATTATTTACTGTTATTTCATTCCTTTTATTCCAAAGATACCTCAGTTCGTCTAAGTTTGGGAGTTTAGTTTTATCAACTAGCCAATTATACATATAATAATCCATAAATTTACCCAGTACTGGGTCAGACTTTGTTTCATTTATAAATTCTACTAGTTTGTCATTACTAAATTTTATATTTTTTGTATTTATCATATGTACATAATCATTAATAGATTCATCATCTTTTATACCACCATCAATGTAGTCTCTAGATAAGTAATCTGCAATAAACATTTTTTTGCCTGGTAAATATCACACATCAGTCATAACCTTAAAGTTAGTATGATAATAAACATAATAATAATAATAATAATAATAATAATAATAATAATAATAATGATACGAATATCAGTTTATTACTACAACAAATGTATAAAACAATTTTTTTAAGAACTTCTAAATTATGTATTTTTCATCAATTGTTTTCTAATTCCGGTAAGAAAGTCATGCTTGAGTACATTCAGAGACATGTATTTGGAGGTCATAGAATGCTTACACCAAGTCAAAAGCTCAATATGTGGTTTACCGGGTGTTGTATTTACTGTAAAAATTGTCAGCGGTATCATATATGACATGTACAGTTTCGTATTATTTCCGAGAGTACGTCAATGATCCTTATTCGGTATTTTCTTTCATAGACTTGTTAACAAAAACAATCAATATTATACTATTATACATGATATGTGACGCCACGGAAAAAGAGGTTTTTATATGATATTTTATATTATTTTAATTTATTGTAAAGTAAAATAGTTATTTTTTTATTGTATTCTATCTATTACTATTCATTCCTACCTTCTCAGTAACTTAAATTACTAAAAACAATTAAGTATTAAATTACTCCATAGATAACATTATAACAATAATAAACATATTTTCTTAATTACTCAATAAGTCTCTATGTTATGTACATTTTCTATTAACATTATCAGTAAAAATAAGGGATTTTTTATTTGCATGAAATTAAATGTTCGATATTGTGTCTATATTAAGTTCGACTTATTTAAAATTCAATATTAATTTTATTTTCAGATAAACCGGATGAGTGATGCCTTACATCAACGATCCGTAATAGAAAGGAACCCTAGAATTAAACGTCAGGTATAAATGTATATCTAAATTTACTACATGCAATTCAAGATAAATAAATAATTTAAATGGAATATTTATATATTTTTATTTAGATCAAGTTTTTTTTATTACGAAGATTACACGAGCACTATCATTTTAAGCTGTATGGAATGTGTCATATTAATTTAAGACAACTACATAGTTTGTCAAGCAAAGCAATTGGTTATTTGGTTGTTCAAATCTTGTTAAAATTAAATAAAAAATTAACTTAGATACCAAATTAATCAGTTTATAGGCTGATATATTTATGTAAAGACACTATGTAGAATGTTATATAAACCTTTTATGTTAGGTAAACATAACATATAAGTTACTAATAGACCACTCACTACTCATTCAACACATGTTTTTTATGTATTATTGTAAAGATATTCAAATTTTTAGCATGAAAATAAAAAATAGATATTAGGAAATAAATGTGAAGTTTATAATTTTTTTTCTATTCAATCTCCAGTTTTTAAATAATTGATTATGAATATTGATAATAAATATTGATTATTTTGCCGCGCAAATACTAGTGAGCTATGTGGTGTGGTGGTGTGTAAGGTGAGTATGTGTTGGTGTGTAAATTTAAACGGCAAATGATAGTAAGGTAATGTAAAAAATGGTAACTCTGTTTAATAATGGATAACACGATTGCTGGTAAATAACTAGTTGCTATATAATACAAATCTAAATAATAATAACATAAATATATAAAAAATCACAGCAACATAATAGATAATAAAAATAAAGGTATAATTCACTATAGCTGTTAGAGTTACATGAAAATATAAAAAGATTAGCCCTTCTGGCTCAACAGAATAATATTAAAATATAAATTAGCCCTTCTGGCTCAACAAAGGAAAATATGAAATAATATAATATAATATTATAGGCAGCTATTTAAGCTGTACACTTGTATAATTTTAATGATAATAATTTAATTGATTATAATATTAATACACAGCTCTTATGGCTCGACAAAATAATAATAATAATATAATAATAATTATTATATTATAAATTATACGGCCCTTATGGCACGATAGAATAATGATTTGAAAATATCTGTGGCCCTTATGGCTCACAAGATTTAAATGAATAATAAATAAATAATAACAAAAAACTCACAATTTGTGGAGCGCACACTGGCCAGCTGGTCCTATGCTATAAAAATATAAAATAAATACACGACAATAATATAATAAGTTAGGTAACAATAATATAAATAATAAATAATAAGTAAAAATGCCTTGGCGATTAGCACCAAAAAACAAAAATTATATATGAAAAAAACTTCGGCGATTAGCGCCTACGACATAATAATTTAACCAGCGCACGGCAAAAAGGAAATAATATAAAAAGAAAAACACTTTAACTATTTGAGTCTGTAATTATTATAGTAAGGTTGTGCATCGACGATCCAGCGGCGGCCGATACCCTGTTACACCAAGTAAATGGACCAATATATGGTTTGCAAGCTATTGTTGTTTTTACTGCAAGAAGTGTTGCTGATATCATTATCAAAATATACGGATTTATATTCCGTAATAGAGATTCAATGATCCGTATTTGGTATTTTCTATCATAGACTTTTTAACAACAAAAATCAATATTCTAATATTATAAATGATCATCGGCAAAGCCACCGAAAAAGATGTTTTTACATGATATTATCTATTATTCTAATTTACTTTAAAGTTAAATAGATTTTATGAATTTTATTATTTTCTACCAATTTACAATTATTAGTAACTCCGCAGTGAATAAAATCAATAAATATTCAATTTTTCCATGGATAGGTTACAATAATAACTAATAAGTATTTCTATTTTCACTATACTGAACAATAGGCAACTATTTAAGTAGTTTTGTATCAACATTATATGTGTAACAATCTGACTACGCTCGTTTGATGGTGTTGAGAATAAATGAACAAGAGTTTGACTTTTCTTTATAATTTGAATACTTTTTATTTAATTAATACAAAACACAATAAAATTACTAAGTCCAAATGACTATTTAAAATAATGAAGACTAGCGAGATGTGACTTTAATGTCCTAGCTCCTAGCTCTTCGTTGATGTTAGTTCGCCTAGTTCGGTGTCGCTGGTCCGTCTAGCTCGGTGGTGTTAGTCCGGCTAGCTCGGTGTTGTTAGTCCGTCTGCCG